CCTTGGAGTCAAGGATTCTGAAGCTTCATCTGACATACTTTGGGCATGTTGCAAGGAGGGACTGGTCCTTGGAGAGGGACATCATGTTTGGCAGAGTGGGGGCGGGCAGCGAAGGAGAGGAAGACCTTTGGTGAGATGGATCGATTCTGTGACTGGAGCGGTGGGAATAAGTGCATTTGAGATGGCTAGGTTGGCACAGGATAGAATAGTGTTTAGAGCTCTTGTACATAGGGTCGCTATGAGTCGCAAACGACTCGATGGCACATAGCAACAACAAACATAGGCAAAGCAATGCAATTTTTTTAAAAAAGAAATAGTGATAAAGCATTATAGAAAAAATCAAGTTGATCTTAAGACTAAAATGAAAATTGTGTAAACATGATGTGCAGAGAACATTGGAAAGAAAACAATTTAAAAGGAGGGGGGTCATCAGACTAATAAGATGTGAATTATCATTCTGCTATTACTTTCACTGTCTACTAATGGACTATTTCTGAACATTGTTATATAAGATGGTTGTTGAGTACCATGGAGTCTGAACCAACCCATAGCTAACCCTTTGGCAGGTTCTCAGGGTCAATTAATCACACTGGAGAGGGGACTGCCCATCCTTCTCCCTCAGAGCAGCTGATGGATCCGAACTGTGCGCCCTCAGGATTATAGCACAGCTTCTTTCTACTAGGCCACCAAAAGTTTCCTCCAGTAAAATAAACATGACAATATTTTATTAATAATTATTAATAGAGACCAGTTTGGTCTAGTGGTAAGAAACTGTGCTGCAGTCCCAGAGACACGCAGTTCAAATCCCCCAGCTGCTCTGAGGCAGGATGGGCAATCTCCTCTCATGTGATTCACTGCCTCTGAAAACCCTCTGGAGGGTCAGCTACGGGCAAGGTTCAGATCTGTTGTTAATAGGATAGTCCTGAGTCACAACTGACTCAACAGCTCTTAACAACAACAACAGCACACTGGACATATATACACTGACTCATTAACATTGAGCTGGAACTGACTCAGAGCTGACCCCCCAGTGGGTTTCTGAGGCTATATTTCAATGACAACAGGAGGAAAATGTCCCTCTTTCTCTCAGGGAATGACTGGTGGATTCAACTCAGAGAGGCTTGGCTTCTGGACTAGCAGGGCAAGTTCCTCAACACTCAACACCAGAGCTCTCTTAATTGTCCTTTCTCCACCTTTTAGTAGACTTGTTTTTTCCCTTCCACATTTTCTCACAAAGGTGTTTATTTTTTTAAAAGAAAAAAAAAAAAGCTGGTGTGGAAATTGGAAGAAAAGGAAAAAAATAATGGGACAAGTCAATCTTTCAACAAGTGTGTGACCCAACTCTGGCCCTCACCCATCCATGCTATGGTCACTGAGGCTTGCAAGATAACTTGGCTGAAAGGCTTCCTTAACACCTGTGGTCACTCATTCTTTCCTCCACTTTCCCATACTCCTTTCCTTTCTGGGAAAAGGAGTACAAAGTTTGCAAGAACACACACACACACACACACACACACGCTTCATTCTTTTCATTGAATACACCTCGATTCCCTGTTCTAGCCAACTCAAACCCCAACACTCCTGCCTGCTGATGACAACAGTGGTGTCTACTCCCAACAAAAAGGAAAATACAGCACTTGTTTTTCCTAGTGTATATTTTATGCAATGATTTTAAACTCAGCAGAGTTTCATTACTAAACAATAAAAAGGGAACTTCCCATGAGACTGTAAGAGATATTGACCCTAAAAAGAAGACAAAAATGCTGAACTTTCACAATCAATGTTACATCAGGATCTAAAAGATACAGGAGAAGAGATGACTAAGAAAAATAGAGTACCATTGTGGCTAAACATTTACAAAAATAGTCTTGCTAGTATAAAATTACGTTATTATCATTCATCAAAATAATTTTCCATTGACATCCAGTTGTTCTGTTTTGTTTGGTTGAGTCGGGGTTTTTTGAGGTTTTTTAAAGGCATTACAGTTTTTTTTAATAGAGTTTTGGAAAGGGAAACATGAAAACCAATCAAATTCATTTAAGTGAATTGACAACTGACATGTTTGTAGGTAAGTAAATTATATTTAAGAAGATAATGATTGATTGTATGATGGTATGGCTTTCTTTTTCATACAAAATATTTTTGAGAAAGCTCTCTGAAATCGCCTGTGACATAATGGATACAAAATAGGATTGATAAAGGAATTTAACCACTGAAGCCAAAATGCAATTTCATACCATAAAGACTGACGTTGTTTAGCATCAAAGAAAATTGTGGACACAGTATAAGGAGCCCAGCAGATGACAAATAGACCTACTAGAATGGCCAGTGACTTGGCTAATTTCTGGGCTCTGAGTAACTCAAGATGTTCCTTTTGGTGAGGTGTTAGAGAAGCTGAATGGGAGAGGGACCACACTTTGGAAGTAAATATGTTGTTATTTACATGGGTTCTTAACAAAAACAAGAGATGACTCTTTCTTCCCAGTTCCTCTGGATGACAAGGTGCTCCTGTTTCCTTCAGTTCAGGAAGAGATGTCCCTGAATATAGTCCACATTTGAACAAACACCAAGAGTTGCTGCTAGAGGTATCCGGATTGAGACCAAGATGACTTTGGCATCTCCTAAGACTCTCACGCTTCCAGAGGCTCCAGTAAATATATATGTTGAAATAAACCACCAAGATGACTGGGACCAGGAATTCAAAAACTGAGATTATTGCGATGATGTACTGTTTTGAAAAATATCTAGGTTCACATTGAACCTGGCCTGTCTTCCAAGACTGTGAAACCAGAATCATTGGACCATGCACTAAGAAGGCCAGCACCCAGACAGCCATCATCGGAGTCACAATCCACAAGGTCTTAGTCTGTTTGGCTCTATAGGACACCTGAAATAAACCAAATAAATGATTTTCAGTATCATTAACATGTGTGATTCCACAAAGTATCCCAGAAACCCTCAACCATTTCAAAACTACGCAAGAGATGGAAACTAACTGGGTCTGGGTATCAGGGTGTGACTTTTATTTCAATATAACCTGGGCTTCGATGCAGACCTTCTTGCTGATTTTCAAAGGGAAAACAGTAGCTCTCAAGGTTAACCCTCTAACACTTTAGCAAATGTCAAGGTCTGCATCTCAAATAAGACAGGACGTTTTTCCAAATTTACAAATTCTAATCTAAATTGTCAAGTAAACTGATACAGAGTCCAACTCCTCACAACCTTTTCCAATTTACAGGCCGGGTCAACAGAAACAATTTTGGTTCAATGAAATTGAATAGGCTGGTAAGTATGAAAATGAATCACATATTGCAAGAGGAAGCGGTATTGTTTGATGAAACTTTTGCTTTGGGGATGTTTAAAAAGAGAAATGTATGTACTAAAGTCACAGAAAAAAAAATGCAATTTTTTTTCACTCTGGTTACAGCCATAAAAAGGTAGAAGATACTTATTTTCCTGATTCCAATATGCTGAAAGAATCCAGTCTGCAATTTCTGCTGAGACTTCAAGGTAGGGAGGGGTTCACAAAAAAGAATCTTTATAACACTCCCACGAAGTTCAAGAATAAAGAAAAAGAAGTTCAAAGCCAGTGTGGAGAAATACTGCAGTGTTTCTAAGCCACACCAACACTCTGCTTCTACAAGTGTTAGTGTCAGATGAGGCAAGGCTGTGACAAGCGGTGAGCGTCCAAGCGGAAGAGAGAACCAGAACGTGCTGTCGAATCGACTCCTTTGGCAAGCTTAAATGTAAGTATATGCTTACTTTAAAGCTTGCTAAGTAGATACTACCTTTTAAACTTGCTGAGGGAGTCCATTATGGACGTATGCACTTATAGAAAGCTCTGGTGGCCTAGTGGCAAGAAGCTGCACTGTCATACTCTGTGTATGTGTGTGTTGTTGCTATGTACCATCAAGTCAGAACCAAGTCATAGCTGACCCTCCAACAGGTTTTCAGAAGCAATAAATCAAATGGCAGAGACTGTCCATTGTGCATGTCTTTCTCCTGCAGAGCAGCTGGTAGAGTAAAATCTCATGCCATTAAGTCCACAGCTCGGCACCTTACCACTAGGCCACTGTTGTTGTGGACCCTACAGTCAGAACCAACCCATAGCTGATCTTCCATTGGGTGTTCAGAGGCAGTTAATTGCACAGTAGGAGATTGCTCATCCTTCTCC